AACTAATAACGATAGAAACCAATAAGTAGCACAAGGTAGTGCTATAACCTTTAGAATAATATGTTGCAGCTGTATGCAATGAACTAAAGCTATATTATATCCCTCTTGGATATTCCTTACTTATACTTCAGCAATGGAGAACAAATTCACTAGCGGGATCGTCCCAATACGTGGCCTTGAAACCAACTCTCTGCTGCTCAGGATCTCACAATGAGTAATGACGCAGTCCAGAATAGAGTACACCTTCTTGATGTAGTCTTAAGTGGCCAAGCTCTTAATATTCGTTGACAGATTGTAGGTCTTATTTGTGTCTACCCTAATTGATGAATAATACATGAAATTCTCCCCACAGAACTTTTCCTGTGTCTAAAAGAGAACTAGAATGATTGAAGACAATAGAATCAAAGATGGCTCAAGAATGTGGCCAAATACTTCTGAAGAATGTGCTTTAAGAATGTGCTAATTGAAGATGATGTAATCAAATGTGGCTCAAGAATGTGGCCAGATACTTCTGAAGAATGTGAAGTATAATGTCAAAACAATGGAGCTGAATAAGCTAATATTTCTCCTGATATTCACTTGAATGTTCACTCAAATAATGGGGACAAAGAATCTAAGGGGTGAAAGAATGTTCCCCTATGTTCCCCTAACTGTGCTTCACTCTGTTAATACTTGGGAATCAAATTGATTACTTCAAAAGAGGGGAAAATGAGCCCCCTGATATACTACTAGACTAGTGGCTGTGCTACTGATTACTAATGTACTATAGAATATTCCAGAATGTGTCAGAATTATTGAGAAAGAACTATAGAATGTCATGGAATGTCATAGAATGAGTTAGTAAGAAAGATGACTCAGTATGAGTCATAGCAGACATGACTCATTATGACTCATTGTGACTCATTGTGACTCATTGTGACTCATCTGTTTGGTTACCAATCCAAAGTTGTTTATTTGTATTGTCAACTTGTTTGGTACCACAGCTTTAAGTACACAAATACAAATGAAGTGGCATGGCATGTTTGTCATAGGGGTAAATAAAGTAAAGAATTATGGAAAGGATAAAGGGTACGTTAAGTATTTAATTTGAACCGCTAAGTCGTATCTTGGTGATACATACATGCTCAGAAATGTCCAAAGTAAATTGAAGTAAGGTATAGAAAATTCAGGGGAAGTGCATAGACTATAGTAAGGAGTTACATGTATCATAAATTTGCCATGACCATGTACGAAACAGGTTTCGTGCGTGTCAGCAGTAACTATCCGAGACTCAACCCTCCCTCCTTTTGTCGAACAGTTAGCTGAATCCTTTGCCGGGTATGCGGTATATGGTATGATGGACTTATATTCAGGTTACGACCAGTGCGCGCTACATGAGGAATCACGTGACCTCACTTCCTTTGGAATGCCATTGGGCCCGCATCGGTTGACAACACTTCTGCAAGGTCATGCTAACGCGGTACAAGTATACCAAGGTGATACCGCTTTCATTCTGCAGGACAAAATTCCAGAGTTCACATCGCCATTTATTGATGATGTACCTGTCAAGTTGGTTAAAACGCGGTATCAAAGAGCTGACGGCTCATACGAAACCATAGCGCTAAACCAGGGCATATGTCGCTTCATATGGGAGCATTGTGTGGTCATCAACTGCATACTCCAGCGACTTGAGAATGTTGGTGTAACCATATCCACTACTAAGTTTGTTCTAGCCACTCCTACCGCTGTCATAGTCGGACACAAGTGTACCTTCGAAGGGCGAGTGCCGGAAGATTCCAAAGTGCAAAAGATCTGCGATTGGCCGGAATGTCATACCGTCACGCAAGTGCGGGGCTTTCTAGGTACTTGCGGAGTCTTACGCATCTTCATTCAGGACTTCTCCAAGATCGTGGAACCCCTTACCAATCTTACCCGCAAAGACGTACCCTTCGAATGGGGTGAAGACCAACAGGTAGCTATGCAGACTCTGAAGGACTCAATATTAGAATCTCCCGCACTCCTTCCACTTGATTATGAGTGCGGTCGCGAAGTTATCCTTGCTGTTGACACCTCTTGCATCGCTGTAGGGTTTATCCTCCTTCAAGTCAGGGAAGATGGCAAGCGCTATCCAAACCGCTTCGGATCCATATCCCTCACGGAAGTCGAAAGTCACTACTCTCAAGCGAAACTTGAGCTTTATGGCCTATTTCGTGCGCTTCGCGCAGTTCACGTTTTATCTTCAGTGTCGCCAACCTTACGGTTGAGGTCGATGCGAAGTATATTAAAGGAATGATCAATAACCCTGACCTTCAGCCTAATGCGACCATCAATCAGTGGATCACAGGTATATTGTTATTTTCTTTCGCGCTTGTTCACGTACCCGCTACCAAGCATACTGGAGCAGACAGACTCTCAAGGAGACCACCCACTGAGGAAGATCCTGACGAGGATGATGATCACAAGGATTGGCTTGACTGCTCATATTCTTTTGGCATCGAAATTCTGAATGATCGTAGTTGTGCTATCACAGGTGCAGGAGCTGATATCATGTGATACCCATACGCCGCACCCGTACCTTACCCGCTGACCTGTTTACCTGCCCTCATTGCATACCTAAACACCCTAGAACCCGATTCCGCAAGTCTAACCATACCCTGCTCAGAAAATGCACAAGCGCTTGACGCCAGATTAATCGAGATCCAATGCTTTTTAGAGACCCGCAAGCGACCCACAGACCTATCGGATGACGACTACAAGTCATTTGTCTCATCCGCTGCACGGTACTTCATCCTCGACAAGAAATTGTGGAGACACAACTCTCAAGGAAAGCACCAGCTAGTAGTTCTCGAATCGCAACATTTTTGCATCTTAAAGGAAGCACATGACGACCTTGGACATAAGGGAGTATATTCAATTCGAGCCCGACTTCTCTTACGCTTCTGGCGGCCTATGATTATTGATGACATCAAATAGTACAATAGGACATGTCATGAATGCCAAGTCAGGCAAAGTTGCAAGTTGCACATTCCTCCGACTGTCCCGATCCAGGCGGTATTTTCAGGAGAGAGTGCATATTGATTGTATGATGATGCCTAAAGCAGGCGGATTCGACCGACTAGTCCATGCACGTTGCGCGCTAACCGGATATCCAGAATGGCGCATGTTACGCAAGGAGAATACCAAACCCTTGTCGCATTCTTATTCGAGGAACTTCTTTGCAGATGGGGACCTATTACCAAAATCATTACCGACAATGGACCTGCGTTCCGTGCAGCAGCTGATGAACTTGCAGCCCGCTATGGAATTCCCGATCCAGTCTCAGCTACAACTCTCAAGCTAATGGTATTGTTGAGCGACATCACTATGATGTCCGGGAGGCCATCATGAAAAGTTGCGATGGGGATGAGGCGCACTGGTATCATCCGCGCACTCGGTACTTGGGCGGAACATCACTGTTCATCAAGCGACAGGACTTACGCCTTATTTCATGGTTCATGGCGTCGAGCCTATCTTTCCGTTTGACCTTGCTGAAGGAACATTTCTAGTAGTGCTACCGACCAAGACACCTTCTCAACGACGGATCTAGTCGCATGGAGAGCCCGACAACTGCAGAAGTGACAAGAAGACCTCAAATATCAAGGAGAAAGTACTCAAGGCACGCTATCAGTCTATCTGCAACTTTGAGCAGCGCTATCGTCGCTCGATCATAGATTACGACTTCGCGCCTGGCGCACTCGTTCTAGTCCCAACTCTAAGGTTGAGTAAGCTAAGTGCAAGACGAAGCCCGCTATCTAGGACCTATGATAGTCCCCGCACTAAGGGCGGGTCATACATCCTTGAACTAGATGGTTCTGTGTCCCGACTGCACTATGCAGCATTCGCCTACTCCCTTATCTTCTGTGCAGCGAAACTAAAGTCTCAGTTACTAGCATCACAGGTCTAGACATGAAGCACTGAATACTCTAGCAAGTGAAGACATAGAAGACCACCCGACGAAGTGCTCGATTTCGACTTCGATGCATGACCGCCAGCATTCCTCAAATACCGCCAATATACCCATTCCCGACATCCGCTTCTCTCATAAAAACAAAAACACAAAAACATACCGCTCTTAGTACGATAGTCTCAGTTTCACCCCGGGTTTAGTGGTGTCTCAGTTTCATTCTTCGCTCTCAAAGGACTCACATATGTTACGCGCCATCCGCGCATAGACTTTATATTGCAACACAGACATTACAAAGGATTGGACTATTTCATGCGAAAGATCAATTACCATACATTTTCTCTTTGAACGCATAGGCAGCGCACCACGCACATTGACATGGTTTAGGGATTAAGTTGTGCACAAATAGCGACAGGAGGAATAGACAAGGAAGCGCAACAAAGAAGCCAAGTCAGGTGGTATCCCACCAATTGACCCGACTGCGACTAGTATCATTCACCTTCTTCTGCATCGCGACCGCGTGCTCATTTTACCTTACTTGTCTCTTAGGCACCCAGTGGAGTTAGGATCGGCACATTGGATTTGGACATGGGACATAGGATTCAAGATTACCTGGACCAAGACATGCGATCACTCAGGATATTCATGCGACCGACATTCCAATTCATGCGCTATTAATTCCAGTCTACATTGTACACTAGCGCTAACAAAGTCCAAACATGCGACCTAGGGAACCCTATCTACCGAAGCCTCCTCCTCTTCTTACAGCGCACCACCAAGGAATCCACCTCCGTCAGTCATCATTCCATAAGCATCCCCTGCATAGTCAGCATCTGGTGTATAGCGCCCGCACCTTGCCTTCCGATAGATGTCTTCGTTGTCGGCATCAGCATCTGCCAAGAGGTTGAACTCAACCTCCCGACTCTCTGGCGACTTCCGCTTTTGCGAGTCCTCTACCGACTCTTCCTCTTCCTCCTCCTCTTCTTCCTCCTCCTCATCTTCAGAGTTGGCAGTAGTCCCATCCTCTGGAGTCTCCCTAGGATGGCGGATAAGGACACCCCGCTGTAGAGACTCGATCCTGAGTAGCCTCACAATGGCATATATTGCACTGTAGGTCGAGTCTACAATACTATGTATGCAACGCGACACTAGCGCGATAAACGCGACGTTCGCGCGACGCACGCGACTTAGGCGACACTTCCGCGACATAGGCGACACTTGCGCGACTTGCGCGCGCTTTAGGCGAATTTTCGCGCCTAAGCGCTATAGGGCGCCTGACTTCCCACTGTGTTTTCCCATGTCCAATCAAGTTCCCAGGTATGCATTTCTCCATTTATCATTTATTTCAACATCGTACCATGTTTATTTTCACTTGGTACACATTTTTCATTACACATTTTTTTTACTTTACAGAACACACATTACCACAGACCACCATCATCATAGACAGTCACCATCTCCGAGTTTTTATTATGTTTTGAATAAATCATCGCAAGCCCTAGTAGCAGTTAGCTCTAGTGGCCATATCCACATCAGTTGTCTTATCAGCGTCTCAGTACACGTCTTAACATCTCACTATCGCTCGCATACCGCTTTCACCCAGTTCCGCTTTTCGACGCGCGACTATCCCGCGCTTCGCGCGCCTATAGCGCCTTTGTTCCCGCGCTTTCGCCTTATCACGCTTTGCGCATTCCCCCTAGAGTTGACCAGTGGATATTTGCTTTCTCCCTTCCCTAAGGGACGAACATATCGCACTCATATTTTCCTCCCTTCAACAATTATATCAGCTGCACCCTCAGCTGAGTTGAAGATCCTTCACCGCCCCGCAGAGGAACTTGGAGTGGGAGCAGAGGGCCCTTTACCGCTGCCTTTGCCGCAACAGCGCATGCAGCAGCCCTCTCCTTTGCGACTGCGACAAGTATCAGTAAAGTTGCGACCCTTACAAGCCGGGACCACTTACCTCCATGCCTATGAGTAGAGTACTCGCATTTCTTGCAAGCATCCTTGCACAGCTCACAGGAATTTCCTGGCTTGCCAACGCAAGGCTTCTTGGCCTTTACGCATCGAGCGCAAGGGACAGGATGCACAACAGGCACAACAGCGCGTGGGGTCTTCTAGAAACCGAAGTCAGGATGCCAGAAGGCAAGGTAACCGATCCACTTACCAATGGCTTCCTCCTACCCGCCACAGCGCCAACAGTTGCAGCGTGTTTAGTGACCAACAGAGGACGAACATCCACCTCCTCTTCATCCAACTCCCCTTCCGCATCAGCGTCGGCATCCGCATCGCCCATGGCCTCATCTGTCTCGCCCGACTTCTCCTTCTCTTTCTCTCTTCTCCTTCTCTAACTCCATCTCCTGCTCCTTACTCTACTCCCGCTCAAGCGCCCGCCTGCTCGTCCACAAGTCGCTGGACCTCCACCTTGTAGGCATGGCTTGCCAGAGTATAGTTTGTTGGCCTCTTCCACCTTGCGACAAATGCGACCTCATCCGATGAGAGCGGAAGGTTCATGTTATATGTCTGCAGTTTAGCGCATTGTCGCTAAGTTCCTGCTGTAAAGAGAGTTAGAAATCAAGAAAGAGCTAAGTCGGAAATGGGAACTCACCACAAGCTTAGTCCAAGTCACGGACCCACTCTTCCTTTCGCTGGATACAATTCAGGGCAAGTGAAGAGATAAAAGGCTGCTGCCAGTGCAAGACAGCAGAGAGCAGGGGGCAGTATGAGCCCAAAGGACTTCTGACTAGGCTAAGCTCAAGAGAGAGTGAGAGAGAGAGAGAGTGTGTGTGTGTGTGTGTGTGAGAGAGAGAGAGAGAGAGAGAGAAAGGGTATGAAAATGTCACTCCAGACAATGAGGCAAGACTGTGTATCAGGAGCTTTATAGTGAGCTATTGAGCTACTACTAAACTAATAAGCTGCAAGTCTGGGGAAGCTACTGAATCCTAGAAGGAGAGCTACCAGAAATATAACTAAAAGTCCAGCTAGTGAGTGGAAGTGTAGGGCGAAGATTTGATGCTTATGTAAGCAGTAAAAATGCGAACATAAACAAGGGAAAGTAAGTAAGTAAGGCTAAGTAAAAGTGTCAGTCTGCACCCAGAGAGAATCCAATCCCTACAGTGGTCCTCGGGGATAGCCTCGACCAGGTGCACTAGTTTAAGTCTGAGGTCAGCAAAGGCACATTGCAGTTTGTCGACGTTGGGGTTAATGACTTCTGAGAAGGTGAATGAAGACATGATTGAAAGTATGAGATGAAGGAGCGGATGAAGGAAAGGTCGGAGGGTTCTTATAGGGAATTGCGATCCAGCCCACACTTCCATTGACCCCGACCCACTCTTCGCGACCACCGCATGCCTATTATTCCTTGCATTGTTCTAGTCCACCAATCCGACCACCGTGTGTTTACACTTCCACCCACTGTTCCGGCTTATTGATTGTGTCCACCGCTTCTATCAAATTTCCGCACCCCGATCATCACTTCCATATCAGGTCGCCATTTGATCATGTGCCCTTATCAATGGACAAAATTTTGCTAAGTCCAAGTCGCGACATGAGACCAACTGGGGACAGTGGTATTCGAGTCTCCCGCAGATGTGACAATCATACCAGTGCTAGGTGCATATGAGTGTCATAGGCATATTGTTGCCTTGTCTAGAGGAAAAGAGTAAGGCGCTAGTCACCAGCGCTATTCAGCTCCCAAGCTATCCGCTTTGGAAACCACTTTTCTTTACAGCACGCTACCCGGTCCGACGCCTAGGTATTCCATCCTCCCATGTCCTGCCCTATGTCCACCTACCTCTGCTGGTGCATTATTTTTCCTTAAATGTCGCTACTCTATCAGTCGGCAGGTCTTATTACATGTATCCTTGTGTTCTGCAGCGCTGCATGTTTTATTACCTGTCGCTACAATCATGTCCTCGCCAGTGTCGCTACTATACTTGCCTACACAATTCCAAACTCTTACGCAGTATGATAAAATGGACCCGTCGCACATACAGTACAGTACTTCCCTTCCCTGGACCTTTGCTGGTGTTGGAGTCACTTTAGTCGCTATATCCTAGTCTTGGTTGCAATCGATTCCACTCTTGCCAATCTCTTTGATCGTGTTGTGGTGAAAGAAATAGTAGTCAGCTGGGTATACCAACTAACTTGCTAAATCCTAATGGGTGCGATGTAGAGACTTCGCATTTCTGTGGGCTCATATGGGCTCATTTTACAAATTCTGACAACTGGCCTTCATGGCAACAACTTGCACTATCATCCACGATGACTTCCCTATAGAGCACACCACTTTCCAGCCAAAACACACCATAGGCGCGCTACTTTCCCACACTATGCGCAGCATTCCCGCATGCGCGCCTTGCGCGCTTTCTCGCGCTTAAGCGCACTACGTCACACAGCATCCAGGAGCATCATCCATCATCCAACCAGTCCCTTGGTATGTATGTCCCTTTTCATTATCTGACCATATTTTGCATATTACATTCCCATTTCATTATGCACCCTTATTTTACATCACTTTACCTCACTTACATACTTAGAGTGCTCCCTATTCGGCTCCGAGCCCTGGGAGAGCACTTAGGTAAAACTTACATACCTTCATGTTCGTTTTACACCCAACTTTTGGACCTTAGCTTCTTACCACTTTTCCACCTTAGCTTCCTACCACTCAGTATCTATCACACCAGGTAGTTCCATGCAATGCATGTGTCCATCATCGTCTTGAGGCCCTAGCATCAGTCTATAGGCTAGTGGCACTATCAGTATCCGTCAAGATCCGCACTTTTCCTCTTATCAGTCTCAGTATATATCTTTACACCTGTGCACCGCTTGCACTACCTTCCCGTGCTCCGCGCACTTTCGCACTTCGCTTTCCTGCGCGCGCCTTCAGTGCATTTCTCGCGCTTCCACCACCATTCACCAGGGTTGTTCAGCATCATTCCGTGGATCCTTGCTTTCCTTGCTTCTCCTTTAGGGTCGAACGTTCTTGCATTCTGCGAGTATAGCATAGGCAGAGCTGAGACTCACTATACTGGTTGAGCACTTTTCTTATATGTGCCTGCCAGGTTGTGATCGCCACAGCGAGTGCAGTACTTCGACCCAAGGGGACTGCTATTGAAGCACTTCCTTCTAATAGTGCGAGGGAAGAGAAAGGAAAAAAGATCTAAGACCTGAGATATCCAACCGACCAAGGTCCGAGTCCGAGAATGTCTGACGCAACATGAGATACCGATGAAGGGCACTGACGTGAGATACCGATGAAAGACACCGATGCAAGATATCGATGCGAGGTGAGGAGTCCAATGCCGATGAGCAGCAGGTAAGTCTAGGCCAAGGTAAGGAGCCCAGGTATAACTAGGTATGACGAGGTAAGACTAGGTATGGGTTGCCGACGTAAGACTACCGGTAGCGGTCCGGATCTCACAAGGCCTAGATATAGAAACCTTAGATAGAGTGCACTTAGAGCAGTCAAGGCACGTCCGATGATAAAGGCAAAGGGGATCAATTGCACAATCAAAGACTAACTAAGGTGACTCCTACAACAGTACCAGGAATGTCCAAGGAAGGGAAGTAGTGGATAATACGAACTTGAGTCCTATTTATCTAACTGCGTGACGTCCGGAATCGCACAGGCAAGAGTAGTAGCGAAACACGAGGTACTCGGGTCGATATGTAATAAGGCTCACGAGTGCTGCGGCCATGGGAATACATGTAATAATGCCTGGCTGTTCGTTCAGTAATAGTAAAATACGCTTAAAAACGCACCAATGGAGTAGGTGGACATGGGTAGGACATGGGAGGATTTGGTACCGATGGGACGGAACGGTCGGCCAAGGTGCGTGATGGCCGATCCAACAAGCAAGGGACGGTTAAGACAACCCTGGCTCTTCTGCGCGGAGACCGAGACCACAGATCTGTATCGGCCAAGGTCGGACATAGACCGGCGCGACATAGGTGAGTCGAGTGAGTTGAGACTTTGCAAGAAAGTGGTGTATGGATGTGATGGGATATCTAGGCTGCTTGACTCCTATAGCGAAATGGGGTTCTGCGAGGCTAGCCCGAGCTTGAACACCACAGTGTGTCGCTTGACTTGCTTTAAGTGCACATCGCTAAAGTTTCCCTCTTAAGTTTGACTTTCGCAACGTTGGGATTCGCTATCGGTAGTTGAGCTATAATCTAGTCGCTATCGGGCATTTCACTTGCACTGTCTTACCTTACTCCTCGCTTTCACCTCCTTTTGATTTCTACTCGCTGTCGCTAGTTGGATGTCGCATAGCGCTATCGCATAAAACAGCTTGGGATAGCGCTTCTCACTTATACGCACCTTTCTCTGTCGGAACTCACTTGTCGCTGATCGCTATAGCGCTACTTATGGTTTTTGGTCTTAGGTCACTATAGGTTATTAGTCCTTCGCGCTATCACTTCCCTTGCATATTAGTAGGGAGTTGCTTCAATAGCAGTCCTCTTGGATCGAATACTACACTCACCGCCTATTGGGATAAGTAGCGCTAGTTTCTAACTGGCCTAGTCGCTATTTCTCTTTCACAACAATCTCCTACTGAGTCCTATTTAACTAGCTATGTGAAAGTCTGGAGTACTGTAGGCAAAAGTAGTGCACATCATCGTGGCTGACAAAATATGTAAAAGGCCATGAGGTGCTGTGGCCAGTGGGAATACATGTAATAGCGCTGTCTACTGCATCAGTAATAAGAAAATAATGACTACACACCTAGTGGGGTAAGCATGACTGGACAGGACATAGGTAGGATGAGTCCACAGGGTATCTGAGCAGGTCTGATCATCGGGTTGCATTGGGGTTGTCGGGTTGCATTGGGGTTGTCGGGTTGCATTGGGTTGTCGGGTTGCATTGGGGATGACTAGGGGTGAGTCAGACAAACATGGGGTATGGACGCAAATTGCATAGTGGCTTCATAACAAGCCCAGTTGAATATGATTGTCACACCAGCAAAGAATATCTTCAAATTAAAAATGCACCTAGTGTCCTCCCGTTTCTCTCCTCAACATTCTAAATTCGGGCCAAGTAGCCTAGTCAATGAGCATTGTGCTTGAATGATGTAGGAAAATCCATGGGCTGCAGGCAATACATAGAGTCAGTGAAAACTTTTTGGAAGAGAGTTGCAGGAATCAGGATGTTGGGAGGAAGGACAACTTTTTGACAGAACAAGTTTGACATTGGTGACAGGTCTTAAGGTACCAGGAGACGTCCTTGTCAAGGGAGGGCCACCAGAAGCGATCTGCAATTGTCCGTTGAGTATGGTAAAAGCCTTTATGGCTGAG